TTTTTTTTTCCCCTGCTACTTCAACCACCGAAAGGTACAGTAAACACAGAATTTATACTCTCCCGGTCTTGATTTGAGTGTTTGCATAATCTCTTTGCAAACACTAAGAACTCTGAAGTACAATCCAGACAATTTATGCCCCAACTCTTTCTCTCTCTCTTTTTTTTTTTCGGTAGATGCTGAGGAAAAGCGTGGACAGGGTGACTTGCGCAGTATGGGTTCGTCATCTCTTTACCAAGTCAAGAATTCCAGAGTCGGTATGTGCTACAGTAGTTGAGGAACTAAAAACAGATATTAGACTTCTTAATTCTGTGCTTTCTTTGGTATGGCAGCTTTCTAGAGACATCAGCAAATACCCCTCTAAAGCCAAAGAGACCAGAAGCTTCACTTACATGTATGATTTAGCTTATTTTTCTGCAAAATATTGTCTAGTTTTAGTTGATGGATTTTCTTAAAATCATTTTTAAAGCATGTGGAAAAAAACTTTATAATTCATAGGTTAAACACAGGTACTTGCACTAGATACATGTGGATTAAATGCTGCACTGGTATAGAGCATCATTCATGTGTCTCCATGCAATTGTGTGGCCTAACTTCAGAGTTAAGATGCTCGTCTGCAAAGTATTATAAAAATATGTATGACTTTAATATTGTAAAGGCTAAATTTGAGGTCACTTGTCAGTGCTTTGATCTTCTGAAAAGAAAGGTGATTAAAAATGTAAGATCTGTACCAAAGCTGAAGTAATTTTTAGAGAGTTATTTTGTTAGGTATAATAATAATTCAGATATTTAAAAAAACAAACCTGTATTTTTGTGAACTTCTTAATCTAGGTGTTTCAGCCACGACCTGGAGATCATGAAAAGTATGGAGGTGACCCTGACCAGCCACACAAAATCCACATTGTTACTAGGATAAAAGGCGTACTTGGTCGCCCGTATTGGGAAAAGAAGATAATACGTGATCTTGGACTAGATAAAGTACGGTTTGTTTGGTTTTTTTGGCTCATGCTTCTTATGTACATCAGTAAAGAAGAAACAGGACAACTTTTTTTTTTTAAGCTCAATTTTGCAAGTACAAAACTTGATTTGCTTTAGTGCTGAGAAATTGATTACGTGTTTAGGAGCTGTGAGAAACATTAATGGCAAATGACCATTTAGTAGGAATTCAGAATATCACTGTATGACATTTCTGCATGAGGAGAGTTTTAGCTTGAAAATTCTGCTAAAATAATAAAAAGAGGTTTGCAAATACTTTGCGTTCAATTTTCTCTGTGGGTCGTATTATTCAGATATTGCAAGTAAGCAAACAGGCCTTGTTTATTAATGAAAAGACTTCCAAATCCAAAAGGTATGATGAATTTTAGGACAAACTAAGAGTTTGTGCAAACCATTACTCATTCTGTGCAAAGATTCCTTGTGCAAAGATCTAATTGAAGCAAGCAGTCTCACCGCTAAACTACTATATTTAATACTTACTATTTACTGCTATATAGATACTTTTAGCGATTATTTTTTAACAGTTGGAAGAAATCTAAGTATATTCGTAACTTAATGAGAGTAGAGCCGAATTTGCGTTTTATTGGAACCAGGAGTTTGATCAAGTTTTGATTTCACGTTTTTAGGTATGTTCTTGGTACATTACTGCTTCTTCTGTAAATCTTACATTTACATACATGGTTTATTCTTTTACTGCTAATATGACAAGTTCAGTGAACAGACGTTTGGTTTTTGGAAATACATTAGTAAAGTCTGTTGTATCTTATTTTATAGGCACATCAGCCAAGACTGCACAAAAACATCCCTTCTGTGAATTCCAAACTGAAAGTTGTTAAACATCTGATCAGGTTGGTTAACTGTTTGTTCAATTCAGAACATTTAATATAACTTTTTTGTCATAGAACTTTACTAAGCAAACTCTTTTGCCTATAGAATACAGCCACTGAAACTGCCTCATGGGTTGCCAACTGAAGAGGAAATGTCAGACACCTTTCTCACGAGCAAGGGGGAGCTTGTAATTAAACGGCGTCTGAAACCTGTGGAACAGAAAGAAATTAAGGCATGAGGTGTGCTGGCTGGACTTATATTTTGTAAAATAAATAATTTAACTCCTGAATTAGAACTCCTGAGTTGTGTGTATGAACACTAAGCTTAATGCTTAGCCTAACTGCTACAAATGGCAAAGGTGCCCCTGATGCTCAAAAGGCCTGTAGAAAAATTACTTGTATACAAATGTAAAATTTAGGGTTGCTAATGTTTGCCCAGAATATTAAATGAATGATAAACTTTCTTTCCTAGTTAGTGTGTTTCCCAGTTAACAGTAAAGGTTTAAAAATAAGGTGCATTATTTCACATTTTCTGCCCTAAGAAAGGATTGAAAAGCCCTCTGTTTACTAATTCCAAAATAATTGACTGGCCGTCCAACTGATAGGATCATTGATGGAGGCAGTTATGGAGCCAACAGTCTGTTATCTGGCCTCCCGTGTAGCCTCAGAGGCTCTATCTGAACTCTGTTGGGAGCAACAGAAGGAGTGATTCAAGTCTTTGTAGGTTATATAATTTGTCTTTTGGGGAACGTGTTCTGTTACTGCATACGTATTTCTTGATTCTGAATGTTTAGCAGCGATAGCCTAAGAGCCTTAGTCTATGTGGAAGTTAATGCTTTTCCTGTGCTCGCACTGTAGACTTCAGAAATCTGGAGATGCTGAAGCATTACCTATTTGTTGAAGTTAGTAATTATGGGCCCTACGCTCAGAGTGCTACCTTTCACTGAAGGATCTTGAATTGTACAGTGTGCAGAGATTTCAAGAATATCTCTATTTACAGTTTAAGGATTGTGGTCAAAATCAGAAAGCTGCTGCTATTATCAAATGATAAAGTAGTTTTCATTCCAGTGAGTGTAAAGTCGGCAGTTTACCAAACTGTGAGCCTCTCCCACACTGGACAAACTGTAGAGGAGTTAGTCTTAATGACTGTATGTTGTGAGAAGATCAGAGGGATACAGTGGCTGAAAATGAAAGTTTATCCTGTCTGCTTGCTTGCAGGGAAGAGTAAACACCAGTAGGAGTTCACAGGAATAGAGATATCAGTAGAGGGACACAAATGCTAGAGGTACTCTGTGCAGGAGAAGAGAAAAGAAGGATAAGCTGCAGTAGTGGTATTGAAGAGTTTAGTGAGTCCTACAGGCAGGCCAAAGGCAGATATGCAAAGTTCAGCTGAAGAATCTCAATTTCTCAACAAGCTACAGGCTATAGTTGGAAGGACACAGAAAATATTGACCCCGGCCTAAACGATATCGAGTAGCAAGGAAAAAATAAGGCAGGCAAATGAATGTTGCTTTCCACCACTATCCAGATATTTGCATAGCACGCTGCCGTGCAAAACACTACGATTCTACAATCTCTGTTGTGTGGTGTTTACCTTGTTCTCAATGGAACTTGCGTAGTAAATCCGGAGGTTCAGCCCTTCTGAAGGAATTGTGGAGTGCATCCAAGGTACTGGGCATGCTTAAAGGAGATGGCAGAATTACTAGGACTGAGGAAATTGGGCATATGGGTCTTGTTCCTGAGGGACAGCAAATGCAACATTTGTACCAGGAGTGGCTGCCTAGAATACCAAAGGCAGGATCTCAGCCTGACCAAGGAGGTTCAGGGTTTGTGTCCCTGTCTCTGCAGCCTGGTGAATCTCCAACAGAGGGAGCGCTGCCAGTTCTGTCATACACAGTAGGTGTACAAATAAGAGATCTCTTGATTTGTTACCCACTGTGGATGCCACGGCCTACTGAAGTACTTCAGTGTGAACTGAAAAGCATAATTAGTGAACAGAAAATTAGGAGGAAAAGCGTAATTAGTGAACAGAAAATTAGGAGGATGCTTGCTTGCTACTATGCACAATTCAAAATGTATATGATAAACTATCTACTTAGAGCTAATCATTGCCTTCTAAGTACAGAGAATAGAAAATGCTTTAGATAGCGTCTGTATTTCTGGGTAGGATTTAGCTACAAGAGACATCTACTACTATCTTTCACTGGCAAACTGGCAGTTTTCATAAAAAAGGAAATTGTATTTTCTTGAAATTCTTAAGGTATTGGTAAGCTTGGGTGTTTTTGAATTTGTATGTACTCCTCTGTCAGGACTGTCTTACAGTCAATCTGTGATGCATATTTTCCAAACCTTCTCTCCATAAACATACATTCAGTAAAGATTTGCTCTTTGGTCTAAAGCCTGAACAAACTAGAACTTATACACACGTTATGTTTCTGCGTAATTTGATTAGTGGAGTATTGTCCTTTGTCCTTCCTGAAGCGCAGATAAGACAAACTGTCATTTTGCACAGGGAACAAACAGGATAACTCAACATTACAGGATAATTCAGGTTGGAAGGCACCTCGTGAGGTCTTTAGTGCAATCTGCTGCTCAAAGCAGGGCCAGCTCTAAGATCTGACCAGGTTGCTCAGGGCTTTATCTAGTCAGGTCTTGAAAACCCCCAAGGACAGAGACTGCTCAGCCTTCTTGGCAGCCTGCTCCACTGCTTGTCTGCTGCATGGGGAAGAAGTGCTTCCTTGTGTCCAGTCTGAACTTTTCTTGCTTCAACTTAGGCCTGCTATCTCTCGCCCTCCAGGCATGACCCACTGTGAGGAACTTGGCTCCATCTTTGCAATGACCCCTTGTAGATGCTGGGGGGCTGTTTGGTACCCCCGAAGCCATCCTTTCCCTGGGTTGAACAAGTCCAGTCCTCCAGCCTCCCTGCAGGGGGCAAGTGCTCCAGCCCCAACCATCTCCATGGCCTTCTATTGAACACGCTCTAGTTAACTTATGTATTTTTTTGTATTGGGGGGGTGTGTGTAAAACAGGACACAGTGCTATAGTGTGGTCTAACAAGTGCTGCATAGAGGGGGTTAATTCCTTCCCTTGATGGGGCTGTGCTCCTCTTTGTGCAGCGTGCTCTTGGTATCTGTGGCCTTTTGCTACCCAGGCACACTGCTGGTTCGTGTGCAGTTTGCTTGTTGCGCAGGAGCCATTCGCCACGTACGTCTGCCGTAGCACTCATGGTATATTCAAATATAGCTTTGGTGCAATATCTGGAAGTGATAGAGAAATGAACATATATAGAAACACATTGTTAAAGGAAAAAAAAATCTCGGGTGCAGAATAGTAATATTAACTATACAAAATGCACCATGTTGCAAAACCAATGTTCCTTTTCCTATTTCTCCTTTAGCCCTTACTGATAGGCTTGGTTTTTTGGCTACTCCAAGCCACCTACTTGTCTTCCTTGTAGCTTGAGATGGCTGAATTAACCCAAGGGATCAGAGGCCAAGTCCCCTCAAATGCTTTAAAATATGATATATTAAAAGAATGTTTATTATGCATGAACTTGCATCAGATTTTATAAACCACATGCGATTTTAAAAACATGTTGTACTGTAGATATTCTTACCCCAAATTCTGAATCTACATGAATATATACCTTCAATAAAAGTATTCCTTACAACAGCTTGAGTTTGACAGATTGTTTGCAACCGTAAGGGCTAAAATGAAGTATTTTCTTTTTCTTTTAAGGATAATTTAGTATTTTTCCCTCCTGTCATAGGAGACAGCTGCTTTAGGCTGTTAGTTAAGAGTGATTATTCTAAAAGTATGTGATGATATAATATGATATACTCTTTTTTGGTAGAATAAAGTCATAGCATATTTACTGCAAATAATCAGCGACATTACCAAAATTGCTCATGCAGACTTAACAACTGATTATGTTAACAATTTTGTACCACTAGTAAATTTTGTGCCACTATTAAACACATGCATTTATAGATGAAATATAAGACAGGTCCTGTCAAGCAATGTTATGACTCTTGCAGCATTAATCTCCTGCTTGAGAAACTGGAAGCGCAAGTGATAGCTTTGCTTGAATTTTCTTACAAAGTGAGATGAAAAATAAATGGCAAATGATAAATTAGAGTCTGGATTATTAGCGATACTGTCTTTTAAAGCGATTTGTTAGCCTCAGCTGAGAAAAATCATTGAAAGCTTGTGCTTGTTTTTGGCTTCATTCCCTCCCCTAGTCTCAATGTTTTTGGGGAAGAATCCGGGTTATTTTTGATTGGAAGCAAAGTATCCAAGCAGTGACTCAAATCCAATTAGTACTCAGATATCTTTCTCAGTATCCATTTCTCTTATAAAACTGGGCTCTTGCAACCACATCATTGGCGTAGTCGTTCTTTGTTGTGCCAATATCCATTCTGTCATAGCTCTGGACGTTCTTAACTCCTGCGTTATAGGCCGAAATCCCACCTGAAATGAAAATGAAAGAAACACATAGGTAAAGACGATACTTCTTCAGTAAATACAAGATCAAACAAAATGGACAGCTTAAATATGCTCCTTTATTTTGTTGCTCCCTTCTTTCTTCCTTAGTATTTTTGGCCACAATATTAGCATTTCTAGCAATTTTTGTCCCTGAGGTGTTCTTTTTGTGGTTTAACATTGTGAGGAAATTGTAATTTCCTTCTTCACATCCAGACTTGGCAGTCGCTGTCCCCTTGCTGTGTTGTGCTAACGTAGCACCTCTGGCAGTACGACTGTTCCCCTTCCTATATATTCCTTCATACCAAACTGCACTAGTAACCTCACACATATCTGGACTGCTGTTGGGTAAAGGGCCGCAACCATAACAAAGGTGCCAACTGTATTTGGTGCTCAAGAAAAGAAGCACGCGTATCAGTGAGGACCATACAGCTTAGGAACTAATATAGTCTTTCTCTGGAATTGCAGGGATAGCTGCTTTTATAGGTGCAGATAGACCCACAGAGAAAACAAAGAGGAAAAAAACCCCAAGAAATCCTTACCGCCTGCAGAGGAAAAATGTCCTGATATTTGCAAAGCTTTCCAAAAGCCTTTCAGAAATTTAACCATATCTCATTTCCCTGTTAGTGAATATCAAGAAATGTAACACAGACAATAAAATGAGTAGGGGGGCTGGGACGCAGTTAGTTTTCTAAAGCGCTCAGTTTTACAGCGTTTTCGTGCTTGACTTTTCTGTGTGTGAAGTGTTTTAAAGCTGCCATTTTAAAGCTGGCAAAGCTCTACCTTTCAGCTGCTGTTCCTTTGTCCACGTGGGGCATTTTTTCTGGATTTCCTTTATCATCCCACATAAAATCTTCGTGCCTTGTGTAATATGCTCTTCACTGTCCCACGACCCAACAATCTTATGGAACCGTTTATCAACCTGGAAGTCAGACAGGAATATCAACACACCAAAAACCCCATTACTTATCTAGAGCTGTTCATTGCTTGCAGACAGCTGGTATTCCTTTTGGTCTTTCGTCTCACGGTTGGCCTTTTTTTGTCGTGGGGAGTACGGAGAGGAAGCTCCCGGCCTAGGCAAAGCCAACAGAGTTATGACTAGCAGACCGTGGGGCGGCTAAGCAGGAACGCTGCTCCACCTCCTATGACTCTCAGAGCCTTAAAAAAAGCCGATGTGGCTGCTGCGGGAAAGGTGATCGGATGCAGAAAGCAGCGCTAGAGCTGCCTGAGCTTTGCCAGCTGCCAGGTGACTGCTCCGGTCCTCCCCAGCTACATCAAGAGTCGCAAAATGGTTGCATGCTCTATGGACCTCGCCTGGATCTCCGTCTCAGCTCGGCTCTTCCCCAGCGCAGGAGCAGCTTTGCCGTGTATCCGCGGGAGAGTAAAATGCAAACCCGAGTGCAGTTTGTCAGAGGTGCAGTTCTCACAAGACGGGGAGGGGAGGGGGTCACACTGCACGCAGCAAATGTTGCGGGGCTGTCCGGGGGGCTGCGCAACTCGGCAAACAGTGAGGCACAAACGCCGCCATGAATAATGGAAGCCAGAGCCCCTGCTAGCAGGGCCCCTTGGGCACGTACAGGCTAACGAACTGTCCTGCCTCCCTGCCGCCGCAGCCTACAGGTCTCTGCGCTTAGGTAAAAAACGCTTTTGGAAACGAGATTTACTATCTAAAGTAAGAAATAGGGGCAAGTAATCTCTGCATTCCCAAGGGAGCTCTGGGAAACACGCAATAGGTTTGCAGTGTAAAATGCAGCCTGTTCATGCCCTAACCTACCAACCGGGATCCTTCCCCTGCTGCTGGGAGCTGAAAGCTGGGCCACTGTCACTTCTGTTCTGCAAAGAGTTGTCTGAAAAGTGTCGGGAAAAGGAAAGAAACCTTTTGGGTGGATGTTGCAGCTTGTTGGGCCGCCAGAGCATAAAGCTGTCAAGGCCTCCTATAGTTCACAAAGTTAAATTGTAAAACTTTGAGCCAAGTAAGCTACACATCTGGCAGCACTGTGCTTTGTACGGCGTTTCCTTTCCTCTGCTTTTTTGTCCGTCTTCCTCTTAGGGCTGTATTGCCTTTCTTCAGAAGCGGAGCGTGACAGGCCCTTTCTGCTGTACCTAGCTAATAGGTACTGCTAATATCCAGCTAGTGTATCGTTCCAAGTTGCAAAGGGGGTGAAGGGCTGGGATGGAGAACAGGCCACGTTGTGGTGTCCCCCGCCTCGCCATATCTCCGCTCTTTACTTCTTGTCTCAGAGGAGATACACATCTTGTGCTCAGCCGTACCTGATGTTTTGGTAGGAGCTTTAGGGGGTTACCTCTTAACGGGGCCCCTGTCACTCCTCTCAATCTCTGCTTCAAAAGGATGAGGTTTCTGGTTTTAAGAGTATTGACCATACCTGCATTAAGCCAAATGCATTTCCACGGTCACCCCAGCCGTCCTTCAGGACCGTCCCAGCGTGTGACTCTCGAGAGATAATACCAGCGATCACAGCAGGATCAACACCGAGGCTCTGGCCAACTTTTGTAATCCTGGATTTATATCTCTCCATATTCTGCAGATCTCTTCCAGCAATCTTCTCTGAAGCGGGAACTCCTACAGCACAACATGCATGACTTTTCCTTTAGTTTTTAAAACCAGAGACAAACTGTTCTAACGGTTATTACGAGCAAACTGGCATTTTGAATCCTTTCAAATCTTTTTACAGAGAAGCAATAATAGAATTGGCCAATTTTGCCAGAGGATAAGTGCCCTAGAAATCAATGCACAGCTGAAAAAAAGGTGGTTTTCCAAATACAGAGAGCAGTCCCCTAGCCTGCAGACTTAAAGAAGGGTTTGCTTTTCTTTTTTAAATCCAAGACTTTGGATGGATTAGTTCCAGAAGATTTAGTTCCTTTTAATTTAGGACTATACAGGTGAAACGTTCAGAAACTCAGATCGTGACAGAAACCCTCTGCAGGGAGAGAGAACAGGCTCGATGACGGGGACTGAATACCCCTCAGGCCCCCTGGCCTTGCGTTTTCTCTGGGGTTTCCTTGAGCATTGCTTAGAACATCGCCAAGGCAACTCATAATCTTCTATACCCAGGTAGGATTTTCGTTCATCGTGGAAATATTTACTTACCTGTCAGCAACTGACAGTCAAGTACTTGCATCACTAACAGGCACGAGCCCGTGCATGGGTGTAAGGCAGATGAACGCACAAATTAATACCGACCTCCACAGCTCAGGCCTTCCTGCGCCGCGGTTTCATTGGAAGCTCCAGTCGTGTCAACCTTCGTTATTTCCCCGTAACACTCAGAAGGGTCTAAAAAGCAGTATTTGCAACGAAATGTCAGGCCAGAGCAGTGTGTGACACGTGCCATTTAAATATTTTCGGATCCATGACTGCAACGGCCGGGCGTCATTTGGATACTAACGTGGGCGTTCGAGCCGGCAAAGGCAGTTCTGGTGCCTGCTTCTGAAGGCAGCGCGTCTCAGTCGCCCGGGCGCAGAGCCGCAGCGTCAACTTGCCGGCTGCTACTAGCACTTGGCAAGGTTCACCTGCCCCAGTTTTAGCCTGCCTAAAACTTCGCTGCCTAGTCTAAGCTTGTCACTTGGGCTGCCTGCGTAGCCAGTGGAGGAAGGCACCTCCAAAAGGCAGTTTTTCCCGTTCCAAAATAAAAACCTATCAATCAGTGCCAAACTCCTACCCCACTTTCCTGGCTCCACTTGGCTTTTCCGTAGCTACCGTCGCCAGGAAAAATCAAAAAGAAGTGACCTGTAAACATCTGACTGACTTGCTTATAATTTGGCTGGCTTACGATTTGGCTGACTTGCAATAGATCTGTGTTTATCTCGTCTAAGCGCGCCGTCGCCCAAGGTGAGGACAACAAACAGCCACCGAGAGGAACAGCGCTAGATTTGCCCCAGCAGTTAATGGCAGACAGACTTTGCTACAGCGAATGAGTTACAGGCAAATTAGACAAACGTGACAGACCTGACATGTTTGCTGGAGGATGTCTTCCCCACCTCCTCTCAGCGCTTCCCAAAGAGACGAGCGGGCATTTGAGCTGCTGGCAGCGTTTCGCGGCAGCTGACTCACTGCACTTCCTACGTGCCACTGATTTTACATGAAACAGGAACGGGCGTAACCACTTGTTGTGCGTTCACCCAAGCTCCACACGATTTCTACTCTGCAGCACGAATACAGCTACGATTTTAGAAATCAAATCCCTTTATCCCTTTGAATTTAATTAAAAAAAACCCAAACTTTTTCTACCACTTCGGAACTAGGAAGAGCAAAGGAAGATCAAAAATAACCGACCCCTGCCGGTTGCTGGAAGCAAAGTGCTGACAGTGAGGAAACAGGAACCTGCGCTTTGCAATAGTATAGAGGATTTGTAGGCAAAGACCCGGGAACAAGAGCATGATGCAGAGCTGCAGCTACTGAGAACCGGCATTTGCCGCGAATATTCAAGGCTCCTGTTGTTATCCCCTGCTGTACAGCAACAGCGAGGAGGAACACGCAAACCCAAATGATTAGGGAGCGTGGATCAAAACCACTGAGCTGTTCAGAAGTCAGTAAAGGCGGCCCTGGATGGCAGACCTCCCTGTCACTGCCGGTCCGTACTGATCCCGCGTCTCCCCCATGCTGAATGTTACGGGGGTGGAATACCGTTTCTCTCTTTGATCAGACCTCTCTCATTTTAAGCCAGGGAATTCGTCCTGCGTCGTATCACTGGAAGATTTCAGTTTACAATTTTCTCTGATAGCTGCTGATACCTCACATCAAGGAGCAGCTGCAAAAAGTTACAGCAGCCCCTGTATGTTCCAGATTGCGGGTAAGTTTAAAGACGATTGAAACCCAGGGAAGCACCACCGACGAGAAGTAACATGGAACAGAAATGGTTCATACAGAAGCGAAATAAGTATTGAAATTTCAAAATATCGCTGAAGAGCATTCCTAAACCAGTGACCTCCAAACGGCCTGTGCCACTACTCCGTGTTTGCTTTTTCTGCCCCCCAGTCATTGAGGCAGGCAGGTAGCTCTCCTCATTTGTTTCCTGGGGTCCTATACAGCTATTAGAGTTTTAAGGACATGCATTTTTCAGAAATCTGCACTGTGCCTTTGCATGGTCTCACAGGTCCTGGGAAACGTTTCCCTTACCAAAGCTGCGTTCGGACTGCTGCGAGGCAATGGCAGATCAGCCTCCCGGTGCCCAAGAGAAGCCCCCTGACCTGTGTGATACGCAACAGGTTGCCGCTCAGATGCTGCCGAGGGGGCTTTGTGCTGCCGCAGGCTGAAGTCCTTAGGCTGGCTGCCAAGGCTGAAGAACCAGTTATAACTTTCGTCAGCGCTCTCTGTAGCAAAGATATCAATCTCTTGCTTGTCGCTGAGGAGATAATCCCTCAGCTACGCTGCGTTAGTCTCTGCTGGTATGTGTGAACGGAGCAAGCATTAGCCTTGGGCAGCCTCGAGAGTGCCCGAATAACTGTTTGTCAGTTCCCCTTGTACTTGCTGTTAGACGAGACATTCAGCAGCCTCCAATTTTAGAGTCAGCTCCTCTTAATTTTTCTTGCCTTCATCTCTCAGGAACGCTACGGAAAGCCTGCCCGAATGCGGTCCTGCCGTGACAACGATGCACAAAGGCTTCCTGACGTTCGGTCTCTTGTGTTGCCTTCCCCACGGAGTATGATAGGCGGGCGCTATTCGCTGCTGCCGGCCCTCCAGCGCTCCGCCACGGAGGCCTCTGCTCCTTCCATCACCAGCGATGCGTTCTGCGTTCAGTCCATTTGCTCTGTGCAACTGCATGAAAGGCAAGGGCTGGCGCAGGCGTTAACGGTACGCGTAGTTTCAAGGTAAAAGGGGAACATACACGTATCAGAGGACTAGTTTGTCTTGCTGGTCATCGTCAGGAGTGGAAAAGCCTGAAAGAAAGAGCAGGAAGAGGAGGGGAGAGACTGAGTCAGTTAAGTTTGGTTTCTAGGAGTGAGATTTGTCAGATAGAGACTTACTTAGATGCTGAAAATATTTAATGCAAGAACTGAGGTAATAACTGTGGAGCCAGGCCCTGACGTTTTTCAGAAGCAGATTTTGTATTAATTGGAAGAAATTCAGAGAGTAGTTTCTCAGCATAGGAGTGTGTGTTGGCTCATCTGCAGAAGCTTCATTCAAAGCATGCCCATGTTAAGCCATATCCATTTTTCCCATTGAAAAGAAAGTCAGTGCTGTATCACACCGCCTAGGACAGAGCTGCTTAAGTATTTTCCATTAAAGATAAAGCAGAGGAAGAAGAAGCAATGAATAGCATGCTGTTTTTAGCATCAGGCTGCCAGGATGAACAAGGTTTTGGCTATTTTTAAATTGTATTTAACTATTTTGTATTTAGCCGTTCTTTAACATAGAGCTGTGGCTTGACTTCCTACTGGGTTTACATTTGCTTGCGTTTTTGTTAGAAGTGTGTGTCCTCTCCAGCTTTGCAGAGTTTTTGATGACCAGAGAAAGAGTGAAATGGTGACCCTCCCTGAATCGCAGGGTAAAAATTGAGTGACTCTGTCTGGAAATGTCTAAACAATGAGTGGGGGCAGTAGTGATTTGTATTACTATTAGCTCTTCTTTATCTTCAGTAACTAGTAGCGTTCTGAGTTAAGGAATCCTTCCTTTAAACAGTCAGGTCTCTTTTCCACTCCAGGAAGCCAGTATTTTAGAGTTTTGAAATAAATTTAATAGACGTTCTCTCAGAAAAAGAGAGGAAGGTGAAGGAGGTCAAACAGAACCATTCTGATACAAAACATAAGGCATGATAAGGCAGCATAAAACATGCTTTTAGGCCCTTTCTGTATTTCGTAAAGAATCACAGAAGCCTAATCGTGATAAATATTCTGAGTGGGTTACCCTTAAAACATGTCATTGCTGTATTCCTGTTTTAAAAGTAAAGTACAGATGGCAAAATCCTAGGCCTCTCAGTATTGGATGTGGAATTAAATGGGCTTGGACCAAGCAGCACCTCTTTCCTTTTTCCCGTGTAACTTGCAGGTAGTGTATTTCCGTCAGTAAACTCGTGTATTCATGATACATGAGTCTCATCTACTGCTTTGGTAATTATTTATTTCCTCTAGTACTGGTTTATCTTTAAGAAATTAACTTAAGACACCAATGTAGTAAAGCTCAATTTTATAGCTTAACATTTAAACAATCAAAAAGACATAGAGTCCTATAATGTCAATCCAACAGAATGCTGAAGGAAGGAAAGCAGGGGCTGTGGCTGTGGCTGTAAGAGGGAACAAGTTGAACCATACATTTCAAAGGTTTTTTACTGGTTTTGTTTTGAACCTCCCCCCACAATAGTTTTTGCAGAAGTTCTGTTTCTCATATCAGCAGACATAAAGACTTGCTGGAGAATACAAACAGGACTGACACAGGAATCTTACATAAATTGCACAATTTCAATGTCTTTTGCGATAAGTTCATTTCGCAAGCCTTAGGTCTTGCAAAACTGAGTTAAGACTTTAGATAAATTCTCAAGGATCTTGGAAGTCTTGTTCATGACCTTACGTAAGTACAGCAAAGGCCTTTCTCCTTATGATTAGGATAAGTACTAAAGAGCAAAACTTCAGTCCATTATATACATTACTGCTTAAAATGAAAGTCAAAAATTGGAGAATACCTATATTTCTGCATTTATGTGTGGGTACCTGCTCCTTCTCTATCCACATGGACATGATAAACTGTTTACCCTTTTTCCCCTCCTGGCTGTCAACTTTCAACCGGGCAGCCAGTCACCTAGGAGGGGAGGGAAGAGGTTGCAGTCCACGCCCCCTTGAAGCCACCTTGTCTCCATGCTGAGCAGACCCAGGTCCCTCAGCCTCTCCTCATGTATCCTGTGCTCCAGCCCCCAACCAACCTCGTGGCATCCCTTGGACTCGCTCCAGCATGTCCATGTCCTCCTTGTATTGGGGAGCCCAAACTGGATACAGTGCTCCAGATGTGATCTCACAAGCACCAAAGAGAGCGGAAAGCTCACTTCCCTCAACCTGCTGGCTATGCTTTTCCCTACTGCAGCCCAGGATGCTCTTAGCCTTCATCTCTGCGAAGGTGCATTGCTGGGTCTTGTTGTCCGCCAGGACTCCTGGGTCCCTTTCTGCAGAGCTACTTTCTAGACAGTCATTCCCCAGCCCCTAATGGGGTATGGGATTGTTTTGTCCCATGTGCAAGGTTTTGTCTTAGTTGACCCTCATGGTGTTACAATCAGCCCATTTCTCCAGCCTGCGCAGGTCCCTCTGAACACCAGCTCTACCCTCCAGGGTGTTGAATGCCCCCAACACTCCATCATCTGTGGGCTTACTGGGACTGCTGTCTGTCCCTAGCCCAAGGTGTTCGTGAAGATGAACTAGTAACTGGCCACCAGCTGAGCTTTATAACGGTTCTCTGAGCTCATCAGTCCATTCAGTTTTATACCTACTTTATTCTTTACCTCTCCGGTCCATGCCTGACCAATGTCGCCATAGAGCTACCATGGGAGGCTGCGTCAGAGACTTTCCTAGGTCAAGGTATACAACATCCACTGCTCTCCCTCTTCCATAAAGCAAATCCTCTCATCACAGAAGGCAAACAGGCTGGCCAGGCACTATTTACCCTTTGTAAATCCAGGCTGGATGTTTGCAGCGTGATCTCTAATTGTTCCTAGGAGGACGTGAATCATAACTCAGTGCACTTCTAATGGCTTTGGATTACATTTTCATACTCATTTAAGACAAGTGATTCTTCTAGTTATTTTGATATACAGTTATTTGCACTCCCTGAAGAACTGCACATCAAGAATAAAGGATATTCCCCCAGCGTGCAAGTTGATGCCAGTGGAAAAGGCACAGCTTGCACTGCTTGCTGGTAGACCAAAACTAACTTTTCCTTTGGCCCTGAAAAATGACAGTTATTCAGTCCTGCAGGCGTCTACTCCTCTCCTTTCCTTGCCTTACCCCCCGCACCCCTGCCCAAAAGAGAGTTCAATTTCAAGTCTAGAAGTAATAGGAGCAGCAAATATGCCAAACACAAAGACAGTTGTTAGTATTACTGAGTGTCACTCTTTTACGCAGCAGGAGTGTAAAGACTTTGACAGCAGAGGGAAAAAAGAAAGAATTTTATGAAGCAGAGGTGTATATTTATTTCATCCCGTTCCTTCTCAGTTCGTTTATCTACCTAAAATTAACATTGTCCTTATTCAAACTTTGCTAACATACATAAATATAAGAATACATTGGAGTCATGCTTCATTTGCTAAAGAACACTTTTATTCAGTTTCTGTTTGCTTATTTTTGTCTGACAGAAAACATCCATCTCTATTATTTTATGCATTTAT